GGGAGGAGGAGGGAGTGAGGGGCACTGCAAGACGTACGCACATAATTCGTTCAATTAGCGACGATGAGGAAGGAAGGGAGAGCGTAACAGAAAGAGAGAGAGAGAGGGAGAGGGGGAGAGAGAGAGAGAGAGAGAGAGAGAGAGAGAGAGAGAGAGAGAAGGGGGGGCGAAGTACAGTTAGGGAGGAGGAAGAAGGAAGCCCTTGCGATGGCACAAACACTTCCGAGTCCTGCTCAGATCGCCTTTAAGACGAGCAGGCGTCAGGCTTGCACGGTGATGTGGGAGAGCGCGGGGGGGGGGGGAGGTATAGAGACGGCGCCGGCACAAATGAGGGGTATTGTATTTCCATCGTAACTTGGAGTGGATGAGCTCCCTCCCCCACTCCCTCTCCACGCTCTCCTCCATTGTCCCTGGGCGTAGAGGTGACGGCTACACATACCTTTGAGCGCGGGGCAGATCTTCTTCCACAGCGTGAGGCAGCCGCAGCGGTGGAACTGGCCCAGCGCCAGCTCCATGTAGAAGAGCGGCATGCCCCCGAACACCAGCATGATGCAGTACGGGATGAGGAAGGCTCCTGCGGCACAGAGGACGCGCGGGCGCGCGGGGTCAGTGTGGGCGTGGCGGGGCGCGGAGGGGCGGACCTGTTGAGCGGCCCACCGCCGCACCGGCACCACCGCACAGCGAGCCCTACCGTGCACAGTTATATGCCATCCATTTTAGACAGTCCCATGTGTCTGTCTCACTAGTCGAAGGTAAAAGTTTCCCGTTTTGAGCAATATGTTTAGTGTTGATTAGGTTCCAGTCACAAACCAATCGACAATAAGTGTTGCTTTTGTTTATGTTTTTTTTTTTTTAATTCCAATCAAATCTTACGCAACAAATTGTCTGTTCTGTCCTGGAGTTAGCGCGGGAGGGTCGTCGCGTGTGCCTGTGTGCCATACGAGTGGGTGCGGGTTTCAACCGACGGACTCAATTAGTTTCTTTTCGAGAACTCTTTGGGCTGATAAACAACTCATCTGTGCACTTTAGCCGGCAGGCGGTTGGAGCGACGCGACGATGTGTTCGTCTCTCTGCAGCAGCTCCCGTACGCAGTCTTCGCGCGACCCCGACTTCTTTTCTTCGCTTCCCCTCCTCCCCTCCACGACACTCTGATCCGTCGAGCCAATTGCGACGGCTGGGGCTTATCCGCCGCGCCGCGCCGCGCCGCGCTGCGCCCCATCCCTCCCCATACCACTACGTGCGGACCGACAAAATAATGCGCTCAAACACACTCACACACACACTCACTCACACAGAAACATTTTTAAAAGGAAAGACTGGCGTGCAATATTGTCGACGGGTTTTTTCAACAAGTACAAAAAAAAACATCATAAAAAGGAAATTTAATAACTACTTTAATGGACCCGCCATATGTGCATATTTTTTTATCGTCATGCGCTTTTTCCGCATTAGAGAGGACACGGCAGCGGGGCGACGCAAGTCTCATTGTCTCGTTGCTGCCAGTTCGGAACCTATCATATAAAAAGTTGTAGCCACACACGGCTTCCCTGGAAAAATCTGGGCACCGTGCCTCGAGCGGTACGAGTGATTGGGTCCATTGAAAGTTATGATTTTGTAAGATTTCCTCAGCAAAAATTTAGTTATGTAGAGGTCCCACCACAGTACAAGCATTTATTTCTTTTTGTGGGTGGAGGAAAGGATACTTTCTCTTCCGTTTTTCGATTTCAGACCTCCTCTACAACGTTCTGAGCATCCTCATTTTAAGGTATTTTTAAACGGTTTCGACCAAACTGATACTCGGTTAGTTCCGCGAGGTTATTTCTATAATTACAGAGCCCACATTCTACACAGTTCTGATTTTCGATTACAAAAAGCAACCCTGCCCAATTAAAACCCGAACCGGTTAATAATTTTTCCTGCCAGGTACAGAGTGCCGCACGCTGTGTGCGGAGTGTCTGACGGCGCTTTTCCTCGAGCCCCCCCCCCCCCCCCCCATGGCCCGGAGCGACTGAGCGACTGCGGGGCCACCGAATCATTTAATTAATCCCCGCATCTCTGGTCCAGCCGCGCGCCGCGCGCGTCCCTCTTTGGAAAAAGAACTCTGCGTCCGCGAAATCATTTCCTGGACACGACGGTGCGCAGGCACTCACCGCCGCCGTTGGCGTAGCAGATGTACGGGAAGCGCCACACGTTGCCGAGGTCGACGGCGAACCCGATGACGGCGAGCAGGAACTCGACCTTCTTGCCCCAGGTCTCCCTCGGCGGCGGGTCGCCCGAGATGGCGGCGAGCGTGACGGCGGCGAGCAGCGAGGAGCTCTTCCTGGGCGGGCGGGTGTGCCTGGGTGCCGTCAGGAACCCCGTCGAGTCGGTCGTCTCGTCCGGGTCCAGGGGGATCATCTGCTGGTAGCCGTGGACCATGAGCTCCCCGCCGAGCGAGTCGCCCGCGCCGTCGCTGTCCGCCTCCGTGCCTCCGAGGACGCCGCCGACCAGGCCCGCCGCCGCCGGCCCCCGCAGCCTTATCTCGGGCGGGACGCCGTCCAGGACGCCGTCGAGGCCGTTGGCGCCGGCGGCAGCGCCGGGGGCCGCGGCGGGTGCGGGAGGAGGGGGGTCCTCCACCACCAGGGGGTTGGCGACATCGTGCACCTGCGGAGCAACACGCGGCACGGCATCGTCACGATATGCTTAACACAATGGATGGAAGCACTGCGAGGCACAAAACGGACCGGCCCAGGCCCAGCCAGGCGACCTCGGCGAGGACCCCGCGCAGCGCACCCAGCAGGGCAAGGTCTGGTCTATTTCAGCTGTCGCTCCATCTCGAGGCTGCGCGGCCTAAACCATCCACGCTGAAAAATACGAAAAAGTCGGTCCTGAGAAAGGGCGGGAGGAAAGGGG